ATTCTATTCTATTCTATTCTATTCTATTCTATTCTATTCTATTCTATTCTATTCTATTTTCTATTTTCTATTTTCTACTCTACTTTATTATTTTGAAACAAGAGAAATGAGAAGTTTGAGGCACTCTGCTGACTCTTTATGCATTTAGATTTTAAAAATATTATTGCCTGATTTCATTCAGGGCTATTGAAGAATGTCATAAAATTACCTCTATGAAATGTGTTTCAAATCTACCAGGCTTCTGCTTGTGAAGTTTCCTACATTCTTGAACTCTTTTACAGCCATTTTTCTACTTCTAGGACATTGTTTGTGGCTTCCAGGGAGGGGCAATGGCCCACCCTCTTCTCTATGATCCACATCCAACGCCATACCCCACTGCCAGCTGTCTTGCTAATGGTATGTTGCTTTGTCTATAGTGTCAGATTCATTTCTTACTTCAGTGGCTCTGATGTGGCAAGCCTGTGAAAATCACCTTTAGCTGACAATAATGCAAACAGTCTGTATTATTGATAACCTGACCACAGTAATACCAATAATTGTGAAAGTGTGTTGTTTTGCCTTTAAAATCATGCTAGTTTTCTACTTGTATCTGATCGCGCTTAGATGTGTTGGACTACAACTCTCATTCACCAATTTGTTGAGTATGAAAGGGAGTTAATAGCAGTGAAGGGCCATTGCTAATAGTGGATTTTATGACTTGTAATTCAACACATCAAGACGGCATCTGATTTTGCAAGATTTATCTATGTGTCCTTCTCTGGGTAAATTTTCTACAATGCTTTTTTTCATGAAATGCCAGGTGTTATTCTTAAATGAAGCAATCCATTTGCAAGATTTTACCTTCTAAGACTGATGGAACCAATTAATATGCTGGTGTATTGATCATATGTTAACATTCAAATCAGCTAAAACTCATTAACTGTTTGGCAGCCCACATTGGCAATAGATTTCTGTTGACGATTTATAAAATATTTCAGTGGATTTTTTCTTTTTTAGTTTAAAATATTGTGCTTTGAAATTTCTTTATGGTTTGGATTTGACCTGTGAGTTATTGTCATTTCAAACATATGTCTGAAATTTAAACTCCTTTCACAAAGCATTAACAATCTTGGATTCTTGAAACTGTTGGAAATACAAGTGCAAACCCTTTAAACAATTTTGAAAAATAATGACATACTTGTCATGCTTTGTCCAAAGCAAATGAGCCAAAGTTAGCTTTGGATATCTGCCTTCTTCCTATGAAAACTCTGGTGGTTTAATTTACTATCTTTTTATTTTGTTTCATCAAGTTCCCTTTAGTCACAGCCATGATTTGTGTAGGAGACCTTTACCATTTGTTGAACTTCTTCAGCTTTTCCCGGTGGCTCTTCATAGGATTAGCCACCCTTGGGCTTATAGTTCATCGGTGTCGCCATCCTGATATATTAAGCCCATTCAAGGTAAGGTTTGATAGTTTGAAGTTTCTTAGGAACATAATGCTCTCCCTTTTTTCATTAGGTCTGGGGAGGTGAATGAGGAGTTCTTTAGTCTAATTCCTCTCAAATATACTCAGTAAAGTGGCATTGTTATTATTAGCCACAACGGCACAGTGGTTAGAGTGCAGTACTGCAGGCTACTTCAGCTTGCCCTCGGAAGTTGTGGAAGCGCCATCACTTGAGACTTTCAAGAAGAGATTGGACTGCCATTTGTCAGAAATGGTGTAGGGTCTCCCGCTTGGGCAGGGGGTTGGACTAGATGACCTACAAGGTCCCTTCCAACTCTGATTATCTGTTAAATCTGACCAGGGATGTCAAACTCAAGACCCGTGGGTCGGATCTGGCCCATGAGGTGCTTAGATCTGGCTCAAGGGGTGGCCCTGGAAACAATGAAGGACCGGTCTGCGGTGCCTCTGCCAGTGAAGATGGGCTCCCAATCTCCATTTTCGGCTGGGACAGCCTCCTGCAACCATCTGCAAGTGAAAACAGAGCTTTGGAGGGCCGTCTTGAGCACTCAGGCCATCACAGGTGCCTCTGACACAAGTGACATCAAACTGGCCATACTCTCTGGCCAGGCTCCCTGCCTCCCTGAGGTTAAAAACCACCCTGATGTGGCCCTCAATGAAATCGAGTTTGACATCCCTGCTCCAGACAAAAATACGATAATAACAGGACCTTTATTGCAAGGCTACAGTAACAGAATCTCACAAGACTGAAAATACATATATCTCCCTCTCACTAACTAGGGAGGCTCAGTTGCCTTTTATTTGACCACTGCCTAGTGCAGGGGTGTCAAACTGGCAGTCCATGGGCTGGATGCGTCACACGCAGGCCACGCCCACTCCAGCTCCACAAAGGGAAAAAAACATCACAAAATGTCACATGACAGCAATGTGACACCACGAATTTTACACCCTTGGCCTAGTCTGTTGCTGCTGCTGTTTCTCAAGGACATTCCCACAGATCATTACAGGTTCCATCTATGGTGGAGACTTTAATTACAATACGACAAAGATCTCCTATGAAACATTTTACCTAACAACATACCTTTCTCTCTCCCTCCCTCTCCCTCCAGGTTCCTCTTTTCATTCCCGTTTCCTTTACTGTCATCTGCCTTTTCACAGTGGGAATGTCCTTTTATTCAGACCCGGTTAATATCAGCATTGGATGTGGCATCGTTTTAAGTGGTCTTCCAGTTTACTATTTGCTCATCAAACAATCAATGCCAAATTGTTGCCGTAAGACTTTCTGTGAGTGGATCATTTTGGATTATTACATCCTTAAAATCATAGCCTATGATACTGTAAGCTAAGGCAGGAGCATCATTTCCCGTGTTGCTTAGCTTCAACTTCTGATATCTCTAGGAAGCTTGGCCAAATGGGTCAGGATGCTAGAGAAAGAGGCATGTCTGTCATCTTCTACTAGGAGGTTTTTGCATGCATTTGCCTCACCTGTAGTGGCCAATACTTGATCCCTATGATATACAATATAAGGATCATTATATAAGGATCATTATCAGCCAATAAGCAAGCATGAAATAGTCCATCTTACATGATTAACTTTGGATAGAATTTTTTAGGCTAATCAGTGTAAACAATAATACACATTTTTATATCATAATTGTACTGTAGTCATAAAACAATTATATTAATTATATTATTTAAAGATCAGCCCAGTCCAAGAACTACCTTCCATTGTGGCAATTAAAGCTGTGATACCCAGCCAACATGGCTATTATATTTCTGAGTATTTTGGAACTTGAAATCTGAGATCTGTAGTTGTCAAGGTTGGGACACAAAGAATATCCAGACAAACACAAATGATAAAATTACAAATAGTTCTTGGACTGATCTGGTTCCTAAATTATGTTATTAGGCTTCTTATTATTCAAATGGAATTGCCTCCAAACATTCTGCCCACAGCTTCACTTTTATTTATTTAATTAAACTTATAGTTGCCTACTCCAAAATTCTTTTGAAAGAATTCAGGTTCCAGATAAAAAATATTTTTTCATAAACTTGAATTCAGACTTAAACATACATATGAGCCTTAACGAGAGAAATGTTACAGCTTGGAATCTAACCTTACACCAGGGGTCCCCAAACTTGGCAACTTTATGACTTCTGAACTTCAAGTTGAAGTCCACAAGTCTTAAAGTTGCCAAGTTTGGAGACCTCTGCCTTACACCACAGCTGTTTATCAATAAGGGCATGTGATAATATATTTCTCCCAAAGATGGAGAAAACCAGTAGAGCAGCTACCACTGTTCAATCAGCATAGGGGGTCTGTTCTTATATTTTTAATTTTATTTATATTTATCCTATGAATTTGTAGACTGCTTTAGCCAACCCACTCAAAGTGCCACCATATTCATATTCTTCATCCTTTTCTTTCTGCAGGCTTTCTTACACTGAAGCTTCAGATCCTGTTGAAGGTAGTACAGCAGGAAATCAGGACATACTGACCAGTCCTAATTTTGAACTGTTGACTTTGGAGAGCCTTCTGTACAAGCTTGTATTTCCTATCACACTTAGAGTAGCTTTGCATGGCTGCTTCCAGTCTGGAGTTCCAACACCATATGGAAAGTTCACCAGAGATCAAAGACACAAAGAAGCTTGCCCGGATTCTTGCTTACTATTTGATGGGGTTTTTTTTACAAATATAGTCTAAGCTGCTCTTGGTATTATCTTCATATGCAATGCAGATACACTTAGGTGCAACCAATAAATCTGATGCAGTTGCATCTGCATACATATTCTATTTCTGTGTAAAGCTTGGGTAGAAACAAGTTACTTGTAGATTTTGGAAGACCATAAATTTGTTATAGTTATGGTACATTTTGATGAGTATTTCTGAGTTAAACCGAACTTTGGATGCTTTTCAGCCTATGAAAAGCTTTACAAAAGATACATTTTTCAAAGATCTAAGTCAGGGGTGTCAAACTCAAGGCCAGGGCGCCGGATCTGGCCCATGGGGTACTTAGATCTGACCTGTGGGGCAACCCTGCAAACAGCGAAAGACTGGCCTGCGGTGCTTCTGGCAGCAAAAATGGGCTCCTGAGCTCCCCTTTCGGCTGCCAGGGCCTCCTGCAACCCTCTGCCAGTGAAAACAGAGCTTGATCCACTTTTACTGGCAGAGGGTTGCAGGAGGTCGTGGCAGCTGAAAATGGAGCTTGAGAGCCCATTTTCGCTGGCACAGTGGTCAGGTCACCACAGCCCCCCCCCGATGCAAATAACATCGAGTGGCCACTCCCACCCTGGCCATGCCCCCCCCCCCGAGGTCAAACACAACCCTGATGCGGCCCTCAACAAAATTGCATTTGACAACCCTGATCTAAGTGCATTTGGTGGGTTTCAAGATATTTTTAAACATATCTGGTATCATTATAATGGGTTTCCTGCACATCAGGATGCTTTACTGAGTCACCACTGACACTCCTTCTGACTTTGATGGCATACATCTGGAATATAGTTTTAGCAGGATTTTTCAACCACAATGGCGCCCCACTTTCAGTTACTGTTACTGGTGCTTCAGCAAGTGTTAGTAAATAAGTGTTAGTAACTTAAGTGTTAATTTCAAACACTTCAGTGCCATTACATCAGTTGGGAGAAAACTATTGGTCTCTATCAGAGGTGGTATTCAGCAGGTTCTGACCAATTCTGGAGAACCGGTAGCGGAAATTTTGACTAGTTTGGAAAACTAGCAAATACCACCTCTGACTGGCTCCACCCCCATCTATTCTCTGCCTCCCAAGTCCAGCTAATTGGCTGGGTCTTCTTTTGTTTCCCTGCACAGAGAATGGAGCTGTAAAGCAGGTTAGTGGGGTGGGGAGGGAATGAAGATTTTACAGTATCCTTCCATTGCCACACCTACCAAGCCACACCCACCAAGCCACGCCCACAGAACCGATAGTAAAAAAAAAATTAATCCCACCACTGTTTTCTACCCATGCAAAGGAATAATCATCTTGACACAGTTGCACTGATTAGGATCTGGTCAAACAACAGCGACAACAACAATAATATAGCAGGGCTATGGTCTCATCCATGCTGTAGCATTTGCATAGTATTTTGCTTAAAGCAGCAAGATTCCATTCTTTCACTAACATGTTTAAGACTGATCTGTCAGACTGAAATGCCTGGCTTTGTAAGACAGAGGGCAGAGAATGTTGTAAATGTTTTGTAAATTAAATGGCAGCAGTGCTAATTCTTTTCAGTCCATGTCTGTTTCAGATGTGTTCATTCATATGTACTATTTCTGCCTTAATCTGTATGTTTCTGAAAGAAGTAGAAAAATATACCCGTTTTATATGCATTTTATCATAAAATATACATTTTGCTGTAGGCCATCCAAGTTTATTTATTTGGACTGAAAATTAGGGTGTAACATTTGAAGAAGCATTAAATTGCAAATGCACCCCCAATCATCTTTGTTGCTCCTGTCTGTACTCTTTCTAGAGTCTCAGAATTATTTTTATATCATGGTGACCTGAACTGGGCATATTATTTCAAATATTTTTCTCATTAGTGCAGTATAAAGCAATATTATCACTTCACATGATCTTGATGTAATCCCTCTTCGATGCAGGGCTCAACTCATATCAGTTGGCTTCCAAATGTGGAGAAATTAAAATGTTCAGGGATCATAATTATATATGTTTGTGTATGCCTTTAAATGCTTATTCTAGGGGAATTAAAATACTTATGGTATTGTTACAATGGGGGCAGCATCTAGCTAAATTGGTTTGGTCTCAGAAACAGAAAGTGGGGTCTGATTTGTAACTCGGATGGAGGAACTCTAGAGCACTCCATATCTAGTACAAGGATACATGCAGTGGTGGGATTCAGCCAGTTTGCACCAGTTCAGGAGAACTGGTTGTTAATTTCCTGAGCAGTTTGATGAACTGGTTGTTGGAAGAAATCATTAGGGCAGAGAACCGGTTGCTAAATTATTTGAATCCCACCACTGGATACATGGATACTTCACATTTGAAAATAAAAAATGACATCTCAATAGACAGTGCTAGCAAACCACCATTGCCAAGAGAACCCTATAGATATGTCGATGTGATCCCTAACTTGAGACCTTCTTTAAAGTGTTTCTGCTCACTGCAATTTAAACACCATTTAATATACAGGTAGTCCTCAACTTACAACAGTTCACTCAGTGACCATTCAAAGTTGCGTCACTGGAAAAAAAATCACTTATGACCACTTTTCACATCTACAACCATTGTAGAATTGCCACGGTTACATCTTCAAAATTCAGATGCTTGGCAACTGACTCATATTTATGACGGTTGCAGTGTCCCAAGGTGATGTTGCAGTCTTCTGACAAGCAAAGTCAATGGGGAAACAAGTTTCACTTCACAACTGTGACTAATTTAGCAACTGCAATGATTCACTTAACAATTGTGGCAAGAAAAGTCAGAAAATGGGGCAAAACTCACTTAACAAAGGTTTCACTTAGCAACATAAATTTTGGGATTAATTGTGGTTGTATGTTGAGGACTACTTTTATGTTATCCTATGAGGAACCATTATCCTGTAGAAAATGAAGCATAATTCATCAGTGCCAAGATATTCCTTTTTGCTTTCCTTAACTCAAGAAAAAATAGTGCATACACTTTTGTATCTCCATTACAATGCTTTTAATCAATGCTAGGAGTTCCCATGTTCCAATGTCTAAACTAAAGGAAGAAAAAAGATGTGATTTTAATATATTGCCAAATCTATACTATGTAAATGTAGTATTATTATGTGGTTAGCAATCAACTCTCTACTATAAAACTAAAGTTTAAGAGTTGTGGGAGTTTAATTTTCAATAGAATAATATATAGAAGCTTCACCAACATAGCGTCATGCTTTTTAAAATGTAATATTTGTATATAGTATTTTATCTAATATATATAATTTAGAAATCTATTTTAATAGAATGCATATTTCATTATGATGATACATGTTCTAATATACACAATTGTCATACATCTTATTGAAAAGTGCATTGCCAAATTTTGCACAGTGCAAATGTCAAATTATAATTATATTTTATATGAGAATTATGGTGGGCATGCCAATTGAACCCATTTCTTCACAGTCCCTAGAGTTAAAACAATTGTTCTGCAATACCATTCCCCTTCAAATTATTCCCAACTCATTTAAAAATAAGCCTGCATTTTTCCCACACTGGCACCATCACCAGATCAAAAATATGTTCATCATGGTGCCATCCATTTGCTTGTAATTCTGGAACTAATAAAAGGCATATTTAATCAATCATTGATCATTCAAAGCCAACCTATAGCTGAATACCAGGAATACCACCCAATCAAAGTTCTCTCTCTTTCAAAGTTGCCAATTCTACCAGGCAGACAAGAGACTCTTAGCCAGTTACAATCTTAAAAAATAAAACACCAAAACATTCACAGTGCAAAACAAAACAAAACAAAACAAAATAAATGAAAAATAAACTGGCATAAGCACAATAGCTTAAAAATGACAAAAATATAAACAAAAATGCTGTCACAACCAATAAATAGATGGTGACATTGTCAGTTCTATAGCTCTTCTAAATAGCTCTGTTTTGAATAATTTCTGAGAAAACAATTTCTGAAAAACAGGTTCTTTCTGAAATTGTTAATCTTCATATCAGGCAAAATTATTAATCTTTATTCTCCGGATATTAAAGTCTACTGTATTTTCCAAAACTTGCTTTCAGCACAAACTTCAGAGACATGACGTGGTCAAGATTACCACACAGTAGTTGCTTTGTTGCAGACAACAAAGTAAGATAACTTCCAGGTGCCTTTTTATAGAATGTAAGTGAAAAATATTTTTCTTTCAGGACAAAAATTTATTTCTTTTCTATCAATAGCAATAAATCTTATTTTAAAATGTGAGTATAATTTGACATTCCTTTACTCAAGGTTCCATTTCCTGAAAAGAAAAGCACCTGGACCAGATTAATTAACTAGATTAATTTCCTGACTCAGGAGGGAATAAAAAAATAATGGCAGTTTGTAACATGAAAGCTATAAAAAGATTTTTTAAAAAAAGCCTATCTTAGTTGACGTAATATCTGCATGAATCATAATTTTCTATAGGCAAGTGCTAATCCAAGAAAGACCTGGGAAGGGGTTAATAGGTGGACTTTTACCTTGGAGCAGCTGACTTTCTAGTTAATTATCCAGCCCAAGCTATAATCCCAAAGGCCTCTGTTCTTTGTTCTCCCTGTTGAGTTAGGGAGCAGAAGCATAGAAAAAAGTCCAGACAGAAATCAAGGCTTGGCAGATTATTATTATTATTTTTTTGTATTTTTGTTTCTTGATAAAGTTTAGTCTCCAGGAAAAAGAAGAAAAAAGTGACACCAGGATTTTGATTAGTTGCAATATGAAAGATTTACTTTAGAATTAGGTGGAAGTGATGCCTGCCATAAAATTTTGGGAATTAGAAACTTGGTAGTGAGATTTTGTTTTGTTTCCTTGTTTTCATTTTGTAGCGTTTTCTGATCTTTTTAAAAACTTCCCCTCGGGCGTGAATTTGATCAAGCCTTGTATTTTGCTGGGCTGGTTGTAAACTACGAATATGGTTTGATTGCTGCAAGATTAGTTCACATGAAAAAAATGGATATATACTTTTTTTCTCTTGCTGTTTCTACATGAATATTGTTGCTGGATTTATCTAGAGAATAATCAAAGACAAGAGAAGGAACTCGAAGAAAAGGTAAGTGAATAAATTGGTTCTCTTGAGGTGTTGTTTTTTTTAAAAAACAGCAACTGAAGTTGTAACCCATCAATCTGGTAACATTACATTGAGAAAGGCACAATTTAAATATGTTCAGAAGAAAGCCCCAGGGCAAAGTTTAATGTGCTGCTTGTGGACACCCTTTGAAAGTATTTCTTATTTGAAATATGTATTTCCAAGGAATTGGGGATAGTAACAGAATAACATATCCATTTAATTGGTAATGTATCTTGACCAAGCTAGAGAACAAGAGGAAGGAACTCTTGATGCACACAAACAT